CTCTCCCTGCCACCCAAAACAGATACCCTCCACTGATAAGGAATTAATGTAAAGTAGCCCTCTCCCTGCTTCATTTCCTTTTTTCCTCCAAGTTTTACCTAGTATTTAGTGCTGGTCAGTGTTTGCCTTCAAACTAATCTTGGCAGAAACCCCCCATGTTACAGACTGCAAAACTGGGGCAAACAGAGCACATGAACTCTCAAACCCAACAGCAGCTGGAGTTGCCTAAAACTTTGAACTAGTGATAACACAGAGCTACAGCACTGTCATGGCAGAGAGGGATTTGGGATGCAGCAAGTTAAGACCTCCTGTCTACAGCTAGGATCCTAAACCCACCACACTGCAGCTGAGCTCTTTTGTCCCCACGCTGATAAACACTAAAGGATTTGGGTTGGTTTGGTTGCGTTTTTTTAACATACAACACACAAGAACAGGCAGACCGGGAATGTTTTATCCCTGCTTAGCAAGTCATGGTTCACACCTGCAATTTTTGCCTGAAACATTAACATCCTTCATAAGGTGCATCATCAACTCTATCCCCATCATTAAACATTCTGAGGCAGAAGCTCCAAGGTGCAGGTAAGATCAATTTAATCTGTTAACTAGCTATAACTGCCTTTTATACCTTAGCATTTTATAACATATTATCTACTGGGTTTTAAAAATGCACCTTTTTCCTAGCGTACACATGTAACATACTCACATGGGTCCAACATGCCATCAGTAGACAGACTAGATCCTGTTCCCAGACCCATCTGAAGAGAATGGCCCAGAAGTCAGTAATGTGGTGATTCATCCAATAAGCTAAAAACTCTAATCCTACAAAATACCAAAGCATAGACAAAGTACCCAGAAAATGCTGCACACAGCTTTTTTCTTGAAAACTGTCAAATTGTGTGAGATGCCATAACCCTGGATTAACACACACATAAATCCCAAATGGCTGTTCTGTTGTTTTTCAAACTGATAAGAAAAAAAAACTAAAAGGAATCCTAAATATTTCAGTGGCCCTGGAATTAATGCAGTATTGCGACAGATGGTGAGTCAGCTGCCAAAAATTAATAAGAAACATAATATTTAATGCACAGTGGTTATTTTTCCCTAAAAAGATGCAAGCACATCCTTTTTCTTTTGGCAGTGAAGACAAAGCCTACTGTCATAAAAATCAATCCCTTCCAAAACCAACAGTTTGGGTACGAGTAAGTGTAATTGCTGAAGAGAGGCAGTTGAGTCAACTACCTCCAATCACATCTTCAATTCTTTCCCTTTCAAGGAAATGCTTGGATAAATGTATTTCTTCTTGAGACAGAACAGTCACAGCAACCTGGAAGCCACACAGGTTCTATGTTTAGGAGCAGATACGGATCCAGCCAACACACTGAAAAGAAATTCTGGCTAAACGGAGAAATGGGATGGAGAGAAAAGCCAGACTGTTTTAGTCCCCAAAGTAAGGGAACGTACAGATGGGTCTACTTAGATCTGCAGTAACTACTGTCATGCAGTGGTTTTGTTTTCCTTAGCTTATTCTCTTTCCTATTAAGAACCATTTTCATTCAGACTGTGTGCCGATTTACAAACCACCACAGTCAATTATGAGTTATCGAGGACCAATAAATTTACAACAGTACTTTTGAGTTTTGCCAGAAACCAGGAAACATTTTTTCTGGCCACACAGACAATGGGCAATAGATATTTGCCCTGGGACATTTTGTCAAGGAAAGACAAAAAAAATCCTGGCTGCAGGCAGTATGACTGTAGGACTATTACTGCACTGAAGTACAGTCAGTGACAGTCTGAAAAGTGAAGATACCTCAGACAAATGGTAGGAAATCAGGGACTGAAGCTCACCAATGTTTTGTAGGAAAGTTAAAAGCACCAGTCAGTCAGTAAGTCTGCTATCGGAAAAAAAACACTTCAATGCTTACAGTGTCAAAGAAAGGAAAAGGTAAATACTGACTACTAAAACAAGGCTGAAAAAATTTGCTGTCCAGCTCATGCATACATTATGCTTTTCAAAATACACTCTGTTTTCTCTTTCATTTTTACTCTTTACCAACAGTCAAAGCTTTGTCTACATGGCAAAACTAAATCATTGCTGACAAATGGGTGCAGCCAAATGCAATTTCCTTTGTCTACACTTGTAACAAGAGACATACCCTGCTCTGGTTCAGCTGCACCCCTTGTTGTCAACAACTGTCAACAGTGGTTCAATTTAGTGCACCAAGGAGAGCCCAAACAATTTGGAAAGAATGATTTAAGCTGAGTGTGTCCCACCCGGCTCCTCCAGAACACACACGCAGAACAGCCAATGCAAGAAAAACATTTAAAAATTATTAGGAAAATGAACAGTAAAAACCCACCAGGTCTGGCAGGGGGTTTGAAAGCATCTGAAGTTACTTAAGTGTTTTGACCAAAAAAAAAAAAACACCAACCCAATCAACTTGTCCATTGCCCGAGTTACAGAGTTGCCCATTTCCCCTTCACTTCCTCAGAAGAGTCTGTGATAAAGCAGCTAGTGACAGTATCATATCATAGTTTTATTTATTTTACACAGGAAAAGAATTGTAAGCTTTGTGAACTGGAAAAAACCATCACCACAGCTAATTCAAAAAGGACTTGCCCTATAGAAGGCAAATCCAACTAATGCAGATTGCACTGGTGGCACCTACCATGACTTTAAATCATGTCAATATTCCCTCTCACACTTTAACAGCCAAAAGAATTACAATCTGCTTGGATTAATGCAGTACACTGTCGTTAGCTTGGCAATTAAATCCCATTTCTGAGATTGTGTGATCTGAGTCACCAACATCTGCAAATATCTTTACATCTTGTGTAATAGCTGGCCTAAGATCTTGATACACCAAAGTAAAAAGGCCTTTTTACTGGTTATTTTGGACTTACAACTTTATGATGACAGCAGCTTCTCAAAGCAGCCCATGAATCAAATTTATTATCCAGTTTGTCACGTGGGATTTTCTTAACTCTAAGCCAATAGAGCAACATCGAATCAAGGTCATTGTTTATATTGCATGAATAAAAATTAACCACCTATTCAAAAATTTTTCTTTTGACACTGAAAAGTATTTGGCCTCAGAGACTTTTGACACATGCAGCATTCACCAGTTCTTCTACATATCTGGGAGTATGTGAGAAGGTACTCTCAAACAGGATCTGCTCTCATGACAGTCTGTCCTAACTTCAAAAAAAAAAAAATATCTGTCAGCCATCCTACTGCTTCCAACATCAGCAGTTACACATGAGGAAGATGATCCAATTGCAGGATGCTCAACTCAGGAATTAATTTCCTCCCCAACAGTATCAATGAATATTTAAGCAGATCAGTGATTTCTAAACGATGGTTTAGTGGTAAAGCCAGCAGCCCAGGAAGATTTTTTTTTTCATATGGATCAGAGAAGAGACAGCATGTTATGAGCTTTCAAAACAAAGTCTAGCTCTACGAATCCACTGAAGGAAGAAAGAAATACTACCTTCTCCAACCACAGAAGATGTTAAGATAACCAGTTCTCTCCTCAAATTAGAGCCTAACCATGAGACATAATATAATGTATGCTATTGTTGTGGTTTGAGCCCGTTCAGCAGCCAAACACCACGCAGCCACTCTCTCCGCCTTCTCTTCCATCAATGAGAAGGGACAGAGAGCCAGGCTTGGGGTTCAAGATAGGACTGGGAGGGGAAAATCACCCTGCATGGTCACGAGCAAAAGGCAGACTCATTAGGGGAATTAAAAAAAAGAACGTACATTTATTACGGGCACTAACAACACTTAACAGAGTAGGACAGTGAGAAGCATTGCCACATCTTGAGAACACCTTCCCCCCACCCCTCCCTTCTTCCCGGGCTCAGCTCTGCTCCCAGTATCTCTACCTCCTCCCCCAGCAGCACAGGGGCAGGGAATGGGGGGTGCAGTCAGTGCTGCCACTGCCTCCATCTTCAGTGGGGTGAGCTTCTGGAACTTGTTCCCCCTGCTCCATCGTGGTCCCCCTCTCACAGGAGACAGTCCTCCACAAACTCTCTCCGATGTGAGTCCCTCCCATGGGCCATAGCACTTCCTTACACTGCTCCGTCGTGGGTCACCAACTTTCTCCAACTGGAGTCCCTCCCACGGCTGCAGCCCTTCCCAAGCTGCTCCGGCATGGGACACCCCCGCATGCTGCAATCCTCCCAGCGCTGAACTACAACAGCAGTGGGGCTGCCTTTTCCCACAAGACCCCGGCCTTCTGCGGGCACAGAACCTTGATCAGCTAGGCAAAAATAACAGGCCATAAATCAGTGCCTGCTCCACTGTAGATCTTCATGGGTGGAAGGGGGGGCCGCCCTGCTGTCTCACCACAGGATACAGGGGGGGTCTCTGCTCCAGCACACCTCCCCCCTCCTTTCTTCCTCCATTCCTCCACTGACCTTGGTGTTCATGCAGCTGCCCCAATTCCTCCTCACAAGTCCGACTCCTCCTCACCACGTCCCTTCTTAAATACGTTATCGCAGAGGTGCAGCTGATGGGCTCAGTTCTGGTGCAGAGGTGGAGCTGACTTGGAGCTGGGGGAGCTTTGAGAAGCTTCTCACAGGGGGCTACCCCTATAGCCCCCTCCCCTGCTACCAAAAAAACCCACCACTCACTCAAACCCAGGACAGCTATACAGACCTAAATCAGGAATGTTACCTTTAAAAATTCCAGTCATCTTTTACATCTTCAACGGTTACTTGCTGTACTTGCCATAGCAGAGGAACAGGCACTGTTTACAGCCAGGAATCACACCCATAACCAATAAACACACTACCTAGCAGTAACCACAGTGAAAGCCAGAAAGATTTGCTTAAAGTGCGCACTCACAAAGTTTCTCTATGTGGTTTACTTTAAAGTGGACGGCTACAAGTGACCCACGGCCACCTACAGCAAGTACCTGAAGTCATGGCACAAGATGGCCAAGCCAGCACACCCAGCCCTTCCCCACCAGCCGCGGGCACACTGCAGGCAGTACCTCCTTGATCCGCTTCACGAGCGCGTTCTGATCAAAGGCAACCGCTTCTGCACACTGGTGAAGATGATCCTGGTACCGGAGACACAGCTGCAGCACCTGCTGGGGGTCCAGCTTTTCCAGTTTGGTGTTGGTCTGAGAGGTCTGCCCACTGAGGTGTCCTACAAGGCAAGGGAAGGACCAGAGTTAATCTGACTTTTCATATAACTAGCTCAGCTGCAAGCCAAGAGGCAGCAGAACAAACCCAGAAGAAAAGCTTTATAAGCCGTAATGAAAAACTACTTCAGGATCTTAGGCTGCTGAATGGACTTTAGCAATGCAGTCGTCCAGTGAAGGCTAAAGTGGGAAGGGCATGGATTAAATCATAAACATCCATAAATCTTCACAGCAGCGCAAAGAACAGTTTGCCACATAGCTTAGGCCTCCTTGACAGAACTTAAACACAGACTCCAGATGCAGGTCCATAACGTACATGAGCTTGGTTTTCAGCTCACGTAAAGTGAGTCCTGTTTGTTCTCCACAGACAGTCCTAAACTGTGAAAAATTAGCCCCCTCCTCAACCAGAACAGGAAAGAGCTGAGAGATGCATTCCCATATGGGCACGGGACTCAAACTATTTTCACTAGAATCATGCTGTCAAAACAAGAGCTCTAAAAATTCACTGGTCCCCCAAAACAAACCTGAATAAAAAATGACCAATATAAGTTGAATTATTAGGGGTGAAATGTCCCTGTTTTGTCTACCTTGCCTGTTCTAAAGCTTCAGAACCATTTAATATTCTAGGATGTTTCTTTACAATCTGAAAGACCAGTAAAATATATACTTTTGGGTTTGGGTTTTTTTTGGGGGGGGGCTGTGGAGTGTGTTTGGGTTTTTTTTGTTGTTGTTTGGGGGTTTTTTTTGTTTGGTTTTGTTTTGTTTTGTTTTTTAGTATGGAATTAAGAACCTTACCTACTTGCATGACCAGGTTGCACAAAACGCTCTCCAAAAAAATGTATTAGACTTAAAATTGGGTCACTGGTAATGTCTTGAGGAGCAAGATTGTCCAGAGACATTTCTCCTGCCCATTGTTTGTTGCCTACATCGTGCAACTTGAGAACCTTTGCTGAGCAAAAGCATACGTGTGCCATACTGACCGCTTTCCCCAAAGCAGCTGGAAAAAATGATGCTAAACTCTAAGGCCATCCTTTTTTTTGCTTTTTCATTTACTTACTTTCATTTTATTTTCCTTCAGCATTAACTCAACTTTTTTCTTGTTGGGACACCATGTGACAAACAGCATATACACACAATCTGCTTTTCCCCAAAACTATGTAAACTCAATTCAGTGACTGCCCTCTGGGACTCTCAGTTTACAGACAGGAAAAGACATTAAAACAGCAAATGTAAGCAAGTATCATACTAAGCAATTAAAAAATAGTAAATGCCAGTTATTTGGATTGGAAAAGTTCTTCTAAGAACGTACCTCAGTGGGAAATGGAAACTATTGTGGATAGCCCCCATGCCTATTGGAAGCTATAACTGGTGACATCAAGTTCTTGCCAAAGCACAAGAACAAGATAGAAACCAAGACATAAGTCAGAAGCATCTTATGAATTTGAGAAAGTTAAACCTCTTTGAAAACATTTGCAGACAGAAATGAAAACAAAACGAGGACAGCAACTTCATCAGATACAATGGAGTACGTTTACTTTTCAACAACACTCATCATTTTATTCTCTCGGGATGCTCTCAGTTACGCTTTGCACAAAATCCTTTTTTCCCCCCTCATCCTAAGAGGAAAAAAAAGATAATTTTGTTTTACTGACTTGTTGCCCACTACAGTTGCGCTGCCTAAGTCAAGAGGTCAGGAGAGGAAATAGACACCCCACCATCTAGTCTCAAAACCCTGTATTAGCAATAGTCAAATTATTTTTTATGTTTTACAAAGAATCATCTCAAACAAAATCTTAGGTCCAGCAATATCAATCGTAAATCTTTCAAACCTACTTTCAACTGAGGTGCAAAACTTTAATCAGAACAAACCCACTGAAGGAAATACGACTTTTTAAAAATGTGTATGATACATGTTCTAGTGCTTCCTCAGTTTGCTAATTCTGATCTTCTATAAAATTATCTTGTCAGGAAAAATGTTCAAATAATGTTGTCAGCTTTTAATACATCGAATGTTCACATAGGAATGAAGAGTTCACCATACACCCGAGGCAGTTATCCTGTTTCTGCACTGATCAAATACATGATGCTATCAACCAACTAATTTTCTTTTATTACTAATCTCTCACCAACTTCAAGAGGAGGGAGAAAATTAGACTCTATTTGAGAGATTTAATTAACACGAAGTGTGTATTTTGGCCAAGTTACTTTGCTTACCAGAATTTTGAAGCAGAATAGGCCAAGGTCTGCAAAATGAGCTATAAAGGAACATGCTACTCAAACTTCTATTATGCACTTACAACCTTGTACAGGTTATGCAATGCTAAAAGCAAAACTAATAAACTGTGCAGAGCCTCTAATTCACTATCCAGAAAAACACAAGCTCAAGTGAAGGGAGACATTAACTGTTCAGCTGGAATTCCTTCATAGAAAGGCAGAGGTGGAAATACAATCTAGTACAAATGTTTGGAGTAGCAACAAACAAACAGTATATGCCACTTAAAGATAGACTATGGTATTATTTTGGGTGATGGAGTAGGGAGAAGCCAAAGGAATTAGCTTCTCCAAAGACCTCTGGGCTCATGCTGACAATGCCAGAGAACATTTTAGGTTCGAGTTTCAACTTTCAAGAAAGGAAAAAGTAAACAGCAGCATGAAAAAGGCCATACAGCCTTCCACCTGGCAGAAATTCCAATTGTCAAAAAGTCAAACCTCCACTTTGGTCACAGTAACTACTTACTACCCATGCTATAAATATTAACATTTTCCTAACATTAAAAACCTCCTCTACCCTGGTGAGACCCCAACTGGAGTAGTGTCCAGCTCTGGGGCCCCAGCACAAGATACAGACCTGTTAGAGCAGGTCCAGAGGAGGCCGTGAAAATGGTCAGAGAGCTGGAGCACCTCCCCTGTGAGGCCAGGCTGAGAGTTGGGGTTGCTCAGCCTGAGGAAGAGAAGGCTCCAGGGAGACCTTATTGTGGCCTTTCAGTACTTAAAAGGGGCTTGTGAAAAAGAGACTTTTTACCAGGGCCTGTAAGTCACAGAAAAAGGGGCAGTGGTTATAAACTGAAAGAGGGTAGATTTAGACTGGACATAAGGAAGACATTTTTTAATGATAAGAGTGGTGAGGCGCTGGCCCAGGGTGCCCAGAGCAGCTGTGGGTGCCCCCTCCCTGGAAGGGTTCAAGGCCAGGTTGGACGGGGCTGGGAGCCCCCTGGGCTGGGGGAAGGGGGCCCTGCCCGGGGCAGGGGGGTTGGAGCTAGGTGATCTTTAAAGGACCCTTCCAACCCAAACCATTCTGTGATTTTATGTATTCACTGCATTTTATTTTTCAGCAGGTCAAATACCTTTGCTCCCAAAGAGCAGATGGCAACAGTAAGTCATCTTGAAACTCCATGAGAGAGAGACTGTAACCACTCAGATCCCAGAGGGATTTTACCAGGGAAACCCAGGGGGTAGAAACAGAGAGATGCAGAGCTGCAAAGGACTACCCCCACCATGCCATGGAACCCAGATCTCTTCCCTTCCTCCTCCCCCAGCAGCAGGCAGTGAGCCCAAACAGGCTTAACGCAATACCTCCTCCATGAGCTCTGCACTTAAGAGACAGCAGCATACTTCCCTATACCCACGAAAAAACTTGAAACTCACAGGAAAAAACCTTGGACCAAAAGTGAGACACAAAAAAGGGCAGAGGTGTTACTGGTGTCCTTTGTTCCTATACTAACAGAAAATTGAGAAGGTATCTAAAAGCCTCCACCAATTCAGCATCGAGAAAGCTTAATTTTTAGAGCAGAGAGATGGCCAGCACTGCAAATCTCTAGGTATTATTAAACAACTCTCCTCCTGAAAATCACCGCTTCCGTCTTAAAGCCTTGCCCCACACTTTGAACTCTCCACTGAACAGGGCCATCCCTCAGTGACTGATCTACACGCAGTTTGTAAGAGGATATGAGATCATATCTATTGCAATTAAATATTTATGAAGTCACTCTTGAAAGTGCCAAAAGGGGGAGAGACAGAGGTCACTGAGTGGATCAGGCTCACTACCGAAACAGCCAGAACTTGAACCTGGTCACCAGCACATCTCAGAACAACTAACTGTTGACCTATCTCTTCTTCACAGAGAAAAGGTTGTTCCTGGTATTTCCTCTGTGTGATTATTACTCCCTACCGCCCAACAGCACGGTTCTATTCTTAAATAGGAAGAAAACAGAATCTACAGTTCTAATTTCTTATTAAATTCAATACTCGTTTTTCAAGCTGTTAGTTCTCTTCCAAAGAGGGAAACACACCAGGAATCACCTTTGCACTGGTTGAAACCTCGAGAAGAGCCTGCTTGGCGCACGAGTGATGCAACATACCCCAGTGTGATAAGGAAAAGGGGCACGGAGGATGTCCTGGCATGGGGAAGCAAGAATGGGGAAACGGGAAAAGGTCTACTGCAGAACTTTAGTGCATGGACCAAAAACGCTTTGGCAACTGCCAAACATGCACATTCTTAGCTATCAAATGTCACCATAAAACAAATAGGAAGACAGACCACATTATGTGCCTGCCACAAGGAAGAGAAGTCAGGACCCCTCACCTATTCTGGATACATCTGATCAGCAAACAGCATGCCCGTGAAGGTGATAAACAGCAACGGGACAAAGATTCGCATTTCAGCTCCTAAATGGTGCTTTAGAAAAAAATAACCCAATACACCAAGTATGTCATGCATAAAGAAATATCATATATCACTACAAGGCTAGCTGACCCCACAGACTTGACAAATCTGTTATTGTTTCCCTATTCCTTGGCAAAGCAGAGGCATGTTAAAACCATTTTCCTCTCCTTAGTCATCTCCTTGGTTCCAGGTCAACGTACACTTCCAACAAATCACATCCTACTGAGCAGAAGAAAGCTGTTAGTTTAAAAAGCATTTTTATTACTAGAAGTTCTTGAAAAACGGCTTTAAATGCTATACTGATTCTACAGACATACATACAGAACATAGTAACCTACCATA